GACGGCTTTCACTAGCCAATTCGGCCTCTACGAGTGGTTGGTTATGCCGTTTGGTTTGTGTAACGCGTGCCTGCGTTTGAGCGTCTGATGGAGAACGTTCTCGTTGATCTCAAGTTGAGGACGTGTCTCGTCTACTTAGACGACTGTGTTGTCTTCAGTGACGACTTCCCGACACATTTGATTCGAGTACGCCAGGTTCTGGAACATTTCCGAACGGCAGGATTCAAGTTGAAAATGAAGAAGTGCCATTGGGGACGTGACCAAGTGGCGTTCCTAGGGCATATCGTGACTCCGACTGGAATACTACCGAGCCCTGAGAAGGCAAAATCGGTGATGAACATCAAGAGACCGCATGACTTGCACACGGTAAGAGCGTTCCTGGGTCTGACAAGCTACTTTCGACGCTACATACCGGGATTCGCTGCGATCTCTGCGCCGCTGGAGCGCTTGAAGCAGAAGGACGTCGATTTCAGATGGAACGACGACTGCGAGGGCGCGTTCCGACAACTACAACGAGCACTAGTAAAACCACCGATACTGGTGTATCCAGACTTCAAGAAGAGGTTTAAGCTCTTTGTAGATTCGTCACACTTAGCGGTGGGATCATGTCTGATGCAAGAGGTCGACAAGAGAGACAGGGCGATCGCGTACGCGAGTAAGATGCTGGTTGGATCGCAACGAAACTGGGTTAACAAGACAAGTGGAACAACAGAAAATTGAGTGCTGGGGAATCGTATGGTCGACACGCAAGTTCCCGGTGTTATCTGAGTCACGCGAAATTTGACCTGTACACAGACCATCAAGCTCTCACGTGGATCTTCGGCGAGACAACAAGAACGTCAAACGCCAAGTTGGCACGATGGGTTATGGAGCTGTCGCAGCTACGGTTTAAGATATACCACAAGCCTGGAACGTCGATGGGACACGCTGATGGTTTGTCAAGACTGTATCACCGACCGGATGCTGGTATTGTTAGCGCAATCAGAATGGCGGACCTTCTCAACGACAGTGAAGAAGAGACTCCTGACTTACAAGTGCCGACTTCAGACGAAATGCAGACTCAATCGGGAACTCAAGCCTTAAACGGAACGCTGGGTAGGAACGCCACCGACGTTCCAATCCCAGTCGGGGAGCCTGCCGAGACTACGGATCCTAACGGAGAGACTGAGCGAAGTAACCAACAGACAGAGGATGCATCCGTAGCTGTAGAGTCTCTCACGCAAGCGGAGCAGGAGGAAGACTCGCAAGGGAGAGCTCTACAGGCGAACTCATCACCGATTGACGTGTTTGGACTGGACTATGTCAGGTTTGTGGCTGAACAAGAACGTGTGTCCTGGATACGAGCGCTGAAGGCGTTCCTGAAAGATGAAGCCTTGGTTCTTGATCCACAGCTGAGAGTGAGTGTGCTGAAGATGTCTCCGCACTACTTGATTCGAAACGGAGTTCTGGCATGTCTCGTACATCTAGGAGCACGTGCCGGTCCAGCCAGAGCTGTGTGCGTTCCAACTGTCCCGTTACCGTTCATTGAGACGGTCCTACACTTTTGTCACGCAGACATCTTCTCTGCTCACTCAGGGAGAACGAAGACGACGGACAAAGTGAGACGCCACGCGTATTGGCATGGGTGGAGGAAGGACGTGATCGAGTACGTGCGTGAATGCTCTATCTGCAGTGGTGGAAAGGGACATAGACCTTGGAGAGCTGCATCGGATGCCAGTTCAGGACTTGTCTGGCCCGTTCTCGCTACTCGTAGTCGACGCAATTGGACCATTGGTCGTCACTTTTCGTGGAAACAAGTACATCCAGGTGTTTGTGGACTATTTCACAAGATGGGTCGAGGCATTTGCGGTCGCTTCGTTGGACACAATCTCGTTTGTGAACGCAATGATAGAGGGCGTTGTCTGCCGACATGGAGTACCGGAACGTCTACTAAGTGATCGTGGTTCCAACTTCACGTCCAATATGGCCAAGTCACTGTATCAGACGTTGGGGATTAAGAAGTTGTTCGGAGCGGCGTACCACCCGCAAAAACAAGGTCTGGTGGAACGTTTCAACGGAACGTTGATGGGTATGCTACGTATGTTTGTGAACGAGACGCAGACGGATTGGGACGTGTGCCTGCCAAGGGTCCTATTTGCGTACCGGACGGCATATCACGAAGGCCTCGGTGACACCCCGTTCTTTAGTCTGTAGGGACGTGATCCTGTGCTACCAATCGACTTAGCGTTCCTAAACACGGGAAGGGACTGGAAGAGTAATGAAGTTGCGACGTACCACCGGAAATTGTATCGCTCGTTGCGTGACTCGCGTCGCCTTGTGGAACGACAACTACTCAAGACTCAGGGTCGACACGAGCAGAGGTTGGACAACCAAGTAAAGGTGACATATGCAGAAGGAGACGCTGTCTGGGTGTACCAGTACTACTTTAGAGCCCGAGTGGGGGAACGCAGGACGAAGAAGCTGGCGTTCTCCTGACACGGTCCCTACCGTGTTGTTGGCCAAGTCGGGGAGAACGCCTACAGGATCGCGATTCCGACGCACCCGAACAAGGTCGTCACGGTGAACGTTACCATCTGAAGCGATTTCAAGGACGCTGGAGCCGACCCTACGCAGACGAGAAGCCTGATAGAGCCGAAGAAGAAGAGGATCAGGACGGTACAGGTCCATTGGACGTTGAGGACCTGCCGTCAACGAGCTTTGTGGAAAGTCTCTCTATTGGCGAAGAAGAAACTGCGTTCTCGGGAGTGTCGTCGCCGATAGTTGACGTGATCGCGAAGAGAGTCGAAAAGCGTGAGTTGCAGTATCTCGTACCCACCGCCACGTACGAGACGTTCTGGTTGTCTCGAGCGGCGTTGGCACCGGAGTTTGGAACGATGATTCGTGCCTTTGAGGACGCAGATCGAAAGAAGAGAGGTATGCCGGAGTTGCGTCGGAGCGTCAGATTGGTCGAAGCCAATGCCGATGTCGACGATGCTGAGGTGTTATTATAGCTGGCAACGGAAGCCGGTTAGAATGCGTGCAGCTGTGGGACTGCACGAGAGTGCTTGGGGCTCGCTGAGTCTCAGAACACTGAGTGACGTATACATATTTTCTATTTTGGAACGACCACGGGTTGTTCTTTGGGTTTTACGGGGTTGGATATTTTGGGAACGTCACGAGTCTATGAAGACAGAAGAGCGTCGGGTTTGAACGAGAGGAAGTTTGCGATGAGTCAGATTGGAACAAGAAGAAGCATTTAAAGGAGGACTCATTGGAGATGGGAACGAGGAACCAACAGAGGAGAGACAAGACAAGACGGCGGGGGAACGACGGAACGTTACGGTTAAGTGTCAAAAGGAAAGAGAGTGAGCAAGTGTGGAGCGACTGCGAGGCGTACAAGCCGAAGGAACGTCGTCTGGAGTAAGGAACGTGAATCCAAATGCAAGTGGAACGTCACGTGGGAACGTTCCAGATCTGGCTGTGAAAGACACCGTGCGACAGGCTCCGGGCGATGTGGCTCGGCGAGGACACCGAGCATCAGTCGGGGAGAACTGTCACGGTGTACAGTTAGATGGTGGATTAACGATGCTGGCTGACTGCCTGGAGAAGGTCTACTCACTCCAGATTCTTCGGACCACGTCCAAGCAAGCGGTACCTGCGACCAAGACAGTGACGTTCCAAGTGTGAGGTCGTGAAGCAGCTGGTCGTGGCGGGAACTGGAGCTGGACCGCCACACACGAGGGATCTACTGAAAGGTAAGGAGCTCTGAAAACTCTTAGCGAGGCGAAATGAGGAAGTCAGTCGTGGATTTCCATCAAACAAACAACACAAGAATATATCAACTTTTACATTACTATCCCAGTAGTGTCGCTATTACTACTACCTCCTACGTCGGCCCAAGATACTCACGACCCCGATTTTATAGGAAGACCGCGACAAATTAACGACCATTGGAAGTCCTTCTTCATGTCTAAACGGTCCAGTTCACGCCACAAGTGGTTCATACTGGATCCCGACGTCGTGCACGACCACTGCGGGTACTGTGAGAAGGCGATAGCACGAGTGGTGAAAACGCACCGGTTGGTGGCCTAAGGGAACGGGCCTGTTCCCAAGGGAGCAAAGTGACCAATAAGGTAAGTTGTAAGTTGAATGTATTTATAGGTTTACAAACTATAAGTCACCTATTGTAAAGCTATATCATCAGTCAATGGCTCCCGAAGTGTTGGTGTGTCATATTTCATGTAGCCGGGGGTACACTTGGGCTGCGTACCTCGTTACATCTGTGGTCGTGAGAGTGTATTTGGCGATGAGCTTGATGAATGAGGAAAACAGCTCGAGATTTACAAGTACTGTACACTATTAGAATTACTGCTTCAAGGTGACCCTTCAAGGTGATCCGTACATGCTCACCATTTTGTTGCGGGGTATAAAACTACCTCAACAACTTATATGTAGATATACATACAGAAAACCGTTCGACGTAGCATTTGTGATCTTCAGTTTTGACGACAGAGACTCGAGTCGAGTCTCTGTCTCGAGCGCGCTACTGTCCCTCCCTCCGGGATGCCGTAAGCGATCTACATGTATTTAAGGAAGCGTGGTTGAAGCGTAGATATTTGCTAAACGCAAGATGATTACATGTAAATACATGTACTACTGGACCGGAATTAACGGTATTTTTGCAACCGATCAATTTCTTGCAACCAATGGTCCGTAAAAATTCTACAGCACCAACAAAAGTAGCGAGTTTGGCAATAAAACAGTGTCCCAGCTAATGCGCGCCTTCTCTTACAATATTGTGAACAAAGCGACGGTTTAAATGGACAGAAGTATCTTGTGAGAGATTTTACACCGGTTGCAGAAAACTTGTAAATTCCGGTACAGTACAGTAGTAGTACTGTAATTAACAAAGCGCTGGTCGTCATCACTTGTTTGTCTCCTGCAACAGAACGGTACTAAAGTACATGTAGGAATCCTACTCTTTCAACTACATGTACGTGTAATATTCAGCTTAAAACTTCATGCACAAGCCACCTGTGTCTGCTACTGTACACCACTCTACATACACAAACTGTATACTACCGGATGGCAAGCAGTTCCCGCGACACAACTTCAAGAATGCCTTGTCAACCTTGTACATGTACTGCCCGCTTGGCGGGTCGCCCTGCACCGTAAGCTCTGCACCTCCGCTCGTGAAGCCTCAGCTAAAACTCACTCATTCAACATTTTGCTGACTCTGGCGCAACAGCTCCCTCCACGTTCAAGATGCTCCGCGGCTCGCTCCAATCCAAAACGCTTGCCACTCGCAGTTGTACAGTCTTCCTCTGCCCGCGCACTCAGTTCCTCTGCTGCAGCGAATGAATACGACTACGTCATAGTCGATGGTGGCTCTGCTGGATGCGTCCTCGCTAACCGCCTCAGCGCTGACCCGACCAACAAGGTTCTTCTGGTGGAATCCGGACCCAGCGACGTGGGCAAATGGGACTCAGCTCGCATTCACATGCCTGCTGCATTGGCCTACAACCTGGCAGATGACCGATACAACTGGAATCACTACACTGAACCCCAGAAGAACTTGGATGGCCGTCGTATCCCTTGGCCTCGTGGACGTGTCCTTGGAGGTTCGTCCTCCATTAATGCAATGGTCTACAACCGTGGACATGCAGTCGACTTTGACGATTGGGAGAAGAGCGGCGCCAAGGGCTGGAGCTACGCGGACTGCTTGCCGTACTTTAAGAAATCGACGACCCATGACCTTGGTGAGGATGATTACCGTGGCGGGAGCGGTCCGATGCGCGTCACGAGGAAGACGCAGGATAAGGCGCAGCCTCTTTTTCAGGCGTTCATCGATGCCGGTGTCCAGGCTGATTATCCTGAGGCAGTGGACATGAACGGATACCAGCAGGAGGGCCTCGGTTGGATGGATATGACGATCCACAAGGGTAAGCGCTGGAGTGCTGCTGCTGGCTACCTGCACCCTGCAATGGGTCGTAAGAACTTGACTGTTATTACCGACACATTCGTGAACAAGGTCATTTTCGAAGGCAAAAAGGCAGTGGGCATTGAAGTTGAGGACAATAAGTCCAAGTCAGTCTCACAGATTCGCACGGCAAAGGAAATCATCCTCTCGAGTGGAGCCATCAACACTCCACAGTTGCTCATGCTGTCCGGTGTTGGTGACGCGGAGCATTTGAAGGAGATGGACATTCCTCTCGTTCACCACCTTCCGGCACTTGGCAAGAACATGGAGGACCACCTGGGCACGTACCTGCACTTCGAGTGCAAGAAGCCCATCACTCTGTACAACGCTACTTGGCGTTTCCCTCATAAGATGGTCGCGATCGCCCTCGAATGGCTGACGTCGCAAACTGGTCCCGGATCCTCTTCACAGATCGAGGCTGGCGGCTTCATTCGAACGTAAGTTAAGATTCTGCACGGAGATTTTTTTTCTTACGCTCAAGTTTACTACTGTAAAGACACTAACGTTGACTATTTTGGTGATGTACAGAGCTCGTGGTAAAACCTACCCAGACCTCCAGTTCCATTTTCTACCGGGATCCATTGATGAAGGACTTCACGTTCGTGCTGGTCACGTTATGACTGGCCATTGCTCGACGATGCGAGCAACTAGCCGCGGTTACGTCAAACTTCGCAGTAAGAACCCAAGGGAGCACCCCATCATGGAGCCAAACTACCTCGACACCCATGAGGACATTGTTGACATTCGCAACGGTGTCAAACTCACGCGCGAAATCTTCAAGCAGAAGGCATTTGACGAGTTCCGCGGTGACGCGCTTTCACCTTCGGATAGCGCCCAGACCGACGAAGAGATCGACGCTTGGGTGCGGCAAAATGCTGGCACAGTCTACCACCCGTCCTGTACTGCTCGCATGGGAAAGGACGAAAACACTGCAGTCGACGCCGAGACGCGCGTGCACGGTATGGAGGGATTGCGCATCGTGGACGCGTCCATCATGCCCAACATTGTTAGTGGGAATCTCAATGGACCGGTGATCATGATGGCGGAGAAGGCAGCCGACATTATCCTGGGTAACCCTGCACAACCCAAGTCGAACGCACCTGTTTACCAAGCGGAGAACTGGGAGACTAGCCAGCGTTAAGAGCGATGCTTCAGAACCACACTGAAGAATCACAATCTTTGGTTCTGGCGTCCGGATACTTTTTTCTTCGGCAATAAGTGCTTCACGATGTCCGCGTAGCCCAGATGACGGGCAAACTGTAAGAAACTGGTCTTTTGTGCGGATAGGAGGAAAGGAGAGAGGTGTTCCATATTTCGAGGGAGGGGTGACAGCTTAGGCCTACTACACCTTTGCCAGTCCAAATCGGCGACAGTGTAAAGCAAAGTGGAACGTCCCGTAATTAATTTTTTTAATTTTTGAAATTTATTTTTTTAGAAAAAGCCTGTCATTTAGTGTAGTGCAAAACTTTACGTGCCGTACTCCATAGGTTTGCTACGAATAGCTGCCGCCACTGACAACGCACAGTGGCGCGCCATCTTGTTAACCAAGCGCAGATCCATACATGGAAGCTATGCTCTGCAGCGTTTTCAAGCAGCTGCATCCGGCGCTCTGTTTTCTGGGCAAGCGGACGATGTTGAACTGAGCGCTGACTGGGAAAAACAACGCAAGGCAAGCCACTGAGTGTTTGTAAGTGGATGGAGCAGATCCACCAAAACTGGTACTTGCATGGCAGCGGCGCGAGTGAGTGGCCACCCGGGAGGGGCGCGTGAACGACATACAGCCGACGCCCTCTGGGTCTTTCCTCCATTCCTTCCTCGCCCCAGTCCAACAGCCACATACACAGCAGCCATGGCGATTAAGAGCGTACGCTGGTCCACCGTCACCGTCTACGAGTTCGGCGTGGGCATCGGCGGCAGCGCAGTGCCTCGACGCGGTGGTGGCTGGCTCGAACCCCGCAATGTGTGTGGAGGACTTCAGTGAACGCGGCGCAGCATCAGCGGGAGAAAACACAGGCGGGGGACAGGCAGGAAACCGCAGGACGACATCGGCGGAGACGCGTGCGCTGGTTCAAGCCGCTGGAGCGCATCACGATGCTTGAGAAGGCAGGCTACAGCGAGGAGCGTATCTTCCGCTCAATGCTCATGGAGTCGTCCAGCATCGCCCAGTCGCGACGGCTCTGTCTGCGTGTCGAGTGTGTGGCCTAAGTTGCATTTTGCACGTGTCGACGACGACCGAGGTAGCATAAAATGGAATTTTAACGTGGGGGTGCCGGGTACGATGGTGCTCGGAAGGAAGAAGCAAAGGGCGAAGACAGGATGGACTTTTTTAACTTGTTTTGATGCCGACCACCAGTTAGCTCTGCACTAAATCGCCATTGCTCTAAAGTCAATTTTTGAAAATAAAAATTAAAAATTTCTTTGTCACTTAAGTTACTTCACACAGCTTTGCTTTACACTGTCGCTGGCAAAGGTGTAGTAGTATTAAAGGGACTGTACTTATTGATAGTACTTGACTTTTTTGTGCTGGCGGGTAGATTACAAGTTGTAATTTACAACGATGACCTTACAGACTTCTTGTAGGTAAATTCCGGTATATTGTAAGCCCCAACAAATTTTGCCCTTAAAAAAGAGGACGAAATAAGATACAAGATCGTCAAATTCCATTGATTTTGTCCTTTAAGGGCAGCAATACTATGCGCTGTTTTCCCTTATACATGTATATTTTGTTTTTGCTGATTCGCGGTTTAAAATTTGGTGCAGCTAAACGGGCATTCATGTAAATCGATACAAACTTTAAACAGTCGTGTCTCCTGAAGAATTTGTCAAGCACCCTTTAGTTTTTTACCTGCAAGTTCTAACAAAGCTCCCGTTAACTCTAGTGACCATGGTCTGGACGTCGGATGCGACGCCGCTGCTCAGCGGCTGCTCGGAAGTGGGCTGCAATTCTGATGGCGGCGGACAGAGGATGCATAGGAAAGTCGCGTCTACAGTGTGAGCTCACTTGTGGTTGCTTTGGAAACCCTTTTGTAGTTCCTTTTCTTTTAAATTCCAATGAGCCCTCCCCCACAAAATGACGGGTGGGTGGGTCGTTCAATATACCCAAAACCCAAACAAACCAAAATCCAATTTGAGAACACTTATCATGGCATCAACTCGCGAGTGCTTGGCGGTGCTCAAGCCGATGGGCGAAGTGTTCGTCAATGGTTTGGCTTCTAGCTACGACGATGAGTATCCAGAGTCCGAGCAGCTACGGGCGCTAATGACCCGCGAGGACTTTGACAAGAGTATAGGTATCATTAACGACGCGTTGATGGACCATTGGCCGTGCATGCCTTGCAAAAGCTTCGGTTATGGCTGCTGCATCTGCACACTGGGGCTGTCGCTCTATTGTGCTGGTACCCAAGTTTATGAAGCTGAGAGTCGTCTGCAGCTGCAATTGCGACGCATGAATGAGCACAGGAAATTTAAGGTCAAAGGGATCCAGTGGCGACTCGAGAGGTCGTGGTGGAAGCACTCGTCATATATTGAAATCTCCGTTGACGCTGAGGGCGGTAGGAGTCTTGGGGCTTGGAGTGACAGGTCCGAGGGGGAAATTCGAGACGAAACAATGAGCGACCGAGTATTAATTGTGTGAAGAGAGTAGAGCTCGCTTCATGCGTTTTTTTTTATCTGGATACGTGTTTCGAGCAGAAGCTTGAATACAGGGTGAACAAGTTGACGTGTGATTCCCTGATTTCTAGGCGGTAGTTCTCTTAATGGTGTATACGGTGTTTGTTGTTGGAATCATCGGAGGGGTGGGGGGGGGGGGCAATGCACCGGTATAGGTTTCCAACAACCATCCATTCCTCCCGGTGCCTGTCTTATTCTTCAATTTTCCAAGCTAGTGCCCCCAAGATGCCAGTCGAACCTAAGTCAAGTTGCACCATGCTCACCAATGGGTGCCTGCGAGGATACTGGAGGTGCAGCAGAGAATAATGATGTAGAGCTCAATTCTGCGGATATAATGGAGCACCTCAAGTGGATTACAAAGGTGCAGATTCAATAGGCGTGTCGAATAGAAGTGTAAAGGGGCCTAGAGCAATGCAGAGAGAGCTGCGAGACGAGCTAAGCAGGAAGGAAGGGCGCAAGCAGCAAGTGCTTGCTTGCCTACTTTGGGCGTGCTGCACAATAGTGACATTCCTATAGTAAAGCAGACAAAATCCCAGGTGTTTTTCACCCACCCACTTCTCCAAGTCACACCCACCTCAGGTATTTTAGAACACGGGTTGACAATCGATTTTTGTGCTTTCAGGACCACTTAATAAAGCCATTGTCCATTTTAGATCAAATGTAGCCATGCATCTAATCTTCGCGTCGCTTCGTGTGCAATAAGTCGTAGAGGAGACCCAAGCGTGACGATGGCAAAGGAGAAATCGCTGGACAGCATTCGCTCTCCTAGATCGCACCATGAAGCACGCCAGAGCTCCAGCAGTCACATGTCGGAGCCTTCAGCTCGAAATTGGTATCTTCATCGACTGTACCTTCGCTCCGAGTTCAAGGAATGTCTGCGCGTCATTGAAGGAGTGTTGCGAGAGCATCAGGGTCTGAGCGAGTACCCGTTGTACATTAAAGCTCTGATCTTACGTCAGTCTGGACGAATCCAAGAGAGTCTGCAGCTGTTCCAAGCTGCAGCGTGTTTGAACCCGGAAAACAAGGAAAATCTGAAACAAGTGGGAAGATCACTCTACCTGTTGGGCAAACACACGGCTGCCATTGAGGTGTACGAGGAGATCTTGACTATGGGACGCGTGGACGACTGGGAGATTTATCACAGTATGGGACTTTGCCACATGTACCTCAAGGACTACGACCGCGCGGCGCAGAATTTCCAGCGAGCAAACACCATCAACCGCCATGACGCGACTTTCCTCCAACTGGGCAAAGTGCACACGCTCCGAGAGGACTTCAAAGCTGCGATTAACGTGTATCTGGAAGCGCTAGAGTTCTCACCGGAGAACCCGAAGATCCTAACAACCCTCGGACTGCTCTATCTCCGCGTAGGCGAAAACTTCCGCGCCTTCGACTACCTGGGCAACTCGCTAACGCACGACCCCCGTAACCCGAAGACCATTCTCGCTGCAGGATCGATCATCCAGGACCATGGGGATATGGACGTTGCCCTCGTAAAGTACCGCGTGGCTGCGGCTCAGACGCCCAATTCGGCCCAACTTTGGAACAATATCGGCATGTGCTTCTTTGGCAAGCAGCGTTACGTAGCGTCCGTGGCCTGCCTCAAGCGTGCATTGTACTTGGACCCATTTGAGTGGATCACGTCGTACAATTTAGGTCTCGTGCATCTCAATACGGGTCAGTACGCGTCCGCTTTCCACTTCTTCAGCGCCGCCATTAACCTCAAACCAGACTTCCCGAGCTCGTACATGTATTTGGCCATCACGCTGAGTCGTCTGGACGATTTCGAGAACGCCTGCAGCGCATTTGACAAGGCCATCGAGATGGAACGGTACGGCCTAGTGATCATGTTAGCACGACGTTGCTGACGTTGCTTGCTGTGTGTTATTGATGAAGAGACCACATGTTTCACCTTAACTACGCCATCACGCTGTACAACAACGACGAGATGGAGCGAGCCAGGGTGCAGTTCGACCGCTTCGAGGAGATCTTTGAGGGTCTGGACGAAGAGGCTCGCTCGGCCGATCCAGAAGTGCAGGAGCAACGTCAAGCTCTGCTGAATGCGCTGGTGGACTAATAGCTCAACGTCGCTGGGCAACGTGATAGCTGCAATGGTGTAGCATTAATACAAGGGAGCGGCACTTCGATGCAAGCGGGGCGAATTATATTCGTTCTCAATTTAATAAAAAACGAGTTCAACAAGCGCTACCAGTTTTTCTTACAAGATGGTGGATGGAAAGAAAAGAATTCCTCCGTACCGTAGCAACAGCCAATAACGGCGACGAAGTTGTCTTTCTCACGGACAGTAAGTCGCAGAAGCTGATTAAAGCGCCTCCAAGACGAGAGGAATGACCTCGCAATTGGCAGGGTGGATTCGGATGTTCAGCACGACAGCGCATATCGATTCCATAAAGCCTGAATGTGTCACAACAGCAACATTCTGCTCGGGTATCTCACGGAAAAGCTCTAGTAAAAATTCCTTTGCTCGAGCCTGCATCTCCGCGTCCGTCTCGCGATGCGTCGCTGGTCGTTGTCGTCCTTGATGGCTGAAAAGTCCACGTCCGGAAACTTGAGCTTCAGCTCTGAGACCGAACGCCTTTTATCGCATGTGTGACAGCCAAGAATTTCGCGGCAACTCTCAATGCAGACGAACGGCGTATCCGGTACCTGGTCTTTCGCAAAGAAGTTCTTAGCAGTCTGAATGGCTCGAGAGAGCGGCGACACAATCACCCGCTCAATGGGAGGCATGCCTTTTTCCAGCTCTGCCTTTACACTACCCGGCCCTTTGCTCTGTGCGTCATTGATGCCAAACGGTGTGAGGTCTGCGTCCAAATATTTCTCCTGGAACGCAAGCTCAGATTCCCACAGTTCGGGGCCGACTTCGTTGGCCGTAGCGTTGTGGATGCCCTCGGCGTGGCGCACTAAATACACAACCTTGACTTGTCTTGGGACATTCGTAGTGTCTGCCTCAGGTTTCTCCAGTTGGGCGATTTTCCGTTGGAACTCGTCCCAAGACGGAGGTTCGAGCTGAAAGCGCTTGAAGAGCGACACAGCCTCCGCACTGTTGGCAGCTGTTTTCGGAGCGAAAAAACCTTCGAAGGCTCGCACGGAAGTGGGAGCGGCGCTACATGAAGCAGCTCCGTTAGCGTTGGCAATGCGATCTTGCTCCGTCATTTTCTACTTCTTTGTGACATCCGGCCTGCAGCGTTTCGATCCCTGTCAAAACAGATAATGATTATTTCTTCACTTGAAGTTCAAATTTGAAAGGTTTAAAGGTTTATATTTAATAAATAATTCTTGCTGTGATTTAAAGACTTTTGGGTTAATACTTGAGTTTTATTATGCCGCAGTAAGAGGCCATATTCTAGTCCAGGAGATTATTTAGGCGGTGGTTTTACTGTTTTAACGGTAAAACAACCACCTTTTTTGTTTAAAAGAAACAAAAAAAATATTTAGGCAGTAAAACATTATTGCATGTAGCGGTATTGTGCATTGCTGGCTACACCAGCAAGCAGTGCCTTATGTTTGCGTGGTAAATGCATCCTGCCGGTAATTTGATGGTACAGCTACGGGCGTAGTTGAACGAACTGCAGCAAATTGCAGTTTCAAAAGTGCAATTCAGGCCGCTTTCCTAAAAATCATCGTGCATCACGGTCTTATGAACTCGCATTACCGTAAACCCACCACCTGCTACTTCTAAGTCCAGCAAATTCAAACTCTCTCTGCCAAAATCGCTGCAAAGCATAATGGAATTCTGTTAAAGAGGTCTATATGATTGCGGATAATTTGGGCAAGCTACAAACGTAATTTGTTGGCTTTGTCCAGCCTCAAAAACGGCCACAGATAGACAAAGTTTCACCCTCGATGCTGTCAATATTCTGGTACACGAGTACATGAAGAAACCGATATCACCAACCTTGAGCGACGACCACCTTCTGCGACACCCAACACTCGGTGAGCACTTCTCACTGAGCAGGCAGCTTCAACATCTACCACCTGCCGATCGCGTAAACCGAGCGAAGAGCTCGGAGTTCACCAACAAGGCAGCGCACTGCGCTATACAGACCGTCGGCAATGCCTGCGAGTTGACAAACTCTTGGTACGGAATTACAGACACGTTAGAAAAAGGTATTTGCTTTTTCAGTTTGAAAACTAGAGTACTCTTTTTTGCGCGAAAAGTTGGGGATCTCTATCGACGACAACAAATTTCACCTATGCGATTATCTCCAAGAGCAAATCTTAACAAGGAAACAATGCAGGCTGGCCGATCTGGCCGAAACAAAACGCTACACGACATCCAATCAGAAGTCGTTCAACTTGACTTAGGTACTGACTGTACTGTAGCTCGATTAGCTCAGATTTATGTCGCATACAAAGGCCAAAACTACTCTAATTATTAGCTCTTTCGTGATTAAAAATCTTATATTTTCCTTCGAGTTATAAAGAAACTGTCCAAGCTGAAAATCAAAACCCATTTTCGCTTTTGCTTTCAAGCAGCCACATCAATCGACAACAACTTCAAAGTATGACACAGGACCCTCTTAAGAAGCAGCTCAACAGAAACAACCCTGACTGCAAAGCGCCCGAACAGAAGCGCGTGCGACTCAGTCCACCCATGCTGCCCCAGGTGTCGATCTCGCTTCCGCCACTGCCTCCGCTGAGGAGCGTCGCTACTCCGAAATCCGTCCCAGTAGTTACACCTCCAAAAACATCAGCTACAGAAAAGTACAACGCGCACAAGCTGGCGGAGCTGCGGCGCAAGTATTTGGGCGACATCGGCATGGTCGTCCAGGAGCTTAAGGCCGTGCTGACCTACGGGCCCGGGTCAGCCTGTCCCGACGCATCCGTGACACCATCAGTTGTGCTCAAGCTCGTGCGCACCGTCCAGACACTCGAGAAGCTGCAAGCGCTGCTACTAATGAACCCAGATCGACTGCGCCGAGTGTCGTTGGCTCAGCTGGAGAATGTCGAACAGCAGATCAAATGGAACCTCCTCCCTCTCGCCACTTTACTGCGTAGCTTTGACAACGAGAAAAAAGGCAAAACTTGGCGAGCGACATCCCCAATTGGAAGCAACAAGATCAAGGTGGATCAGACTTGGAGCCAATGTGACACGGAATCTCCGCGCTCTTCGTCCGGAGTTTCTGTTGCATCACAGCCCCAGCATGATTGGCGCTTCCTCTCGATGGCGCTTAGCCTGCAGTTGTAGCTTGTTTTTGTATTTCTACTTAACTCGGACCTTCTCCATAAAGAACAATCTAAATTATTGTAGAATTCGACTTGAGAAATGACAAGCATTTCATGTCCTTGCATGTCCCCCCACCTGATCAAGTGTCTATTTCCAACTCGAATGTATCCCGTGAAAACGCGACCCTATGTGCCAGATGATGCATATGCATGGTACATGTCGAGTGTCGTATCGACAGCTCCTGCGTTTTCCCACTTACGTATTACTTCTCGAGAGCGCAAGTCAGCCTGGCGAATTGGCTCGGGAACGCGGTACTGTGAACAAGCTTGGGCGATGGCTACACTTGCATCCAGCGACAGCATGTGCCCCACCGACACGTAGACGGGATTCTTGACGCCAGTTGTGCCGCATAGCGCAGCTCCCCAAACCTAAAGGTCGCACAGTAGGCAGATCATAGCTACATGTGAGCATAATGACAACATTAAAACGCCTAACCACCTCTTTCCTTGCCGGATTCTCCTGTGAGCTTGACGAGATCGCTGCCATCTTCTCGCGCCTTGGCCATCAACGCTTTCACATCGGGCTTGGTGAGACCGTCGACGTGAAGAAATGTCTTGCCTACACCAATGGTTGAGATATTCTCGAGAACACCAAAGTGTGAGGCCAGACCGAAGCCCTGAGGGTGCAAGACACCGTTGCCGTCCACCAGCGTCACGTCAGGCAGCAGCTCTGGTCATAATGAAGACAAGCATTAGCCACCGGAACACAACAACTTCCACAACTTCATGAGCGACAACACTGCTAGCTACCCACCGGGTCGGCGTCGACGGAGATCATCGTACAGCTTTGTGAGCGCGGGCACCTCTCGAAATGCCAAAAAGCCGGCAATATACGGAGCTGGAAGGGACACGTAGGTGAAGGCCTCGTACAATACCGTCAACGCCGGGAAGTCGAGCACTACGACCGAAGCGCACGCGTGCTCGTCCGAGCCTTTCAGGAAGCTAATATCCACACCCGCAACTCTCCTTAACAATTTACAATTGCCGGTCCTCTCAATTGGAGTGGCACCGCCAGTATCAGACTGAAGCTGCCACTGCACCGCATCTGTCTCGATCAACTGCTCCTTGAGCTCCAATTGTTCCGCTGTTTCGCAGTCAAAAGGTGGACATAAGATACACAGCACAAAGATGCACTAATAATATTGATACAATAGCGAGGGTAGCGCACTTTTCCACTGTTCGCGCGTCCTAGTGGTGGTGCTTTCGACGCTCGCCATGGTGGGTGGACTTTTGCGCTTTTGAACGACGGGAACAGTACTATGTAGCCATGTTGGTTTTCTACCAATCGGATGAAAATAACCCATTTGCGTGAGCATACTTTCACCACTTCCATTTTTGTTGTGATGTTACTTCACTGCCACTATTAGGTCTTCAGGCAGTAGCTGCTTCACAAGCTCCTTTTGCTCAGCCGAGAGCATCGCCGGAAACTGAATCTCGTGATGCACGTGCAGGTTGCCGTGTTGAGACGGATAGTTGTGAGCGGGCATGCCCTCCTCCTGCACTGTGCGGACCTCAAAGGGCGTTGTCACCTTCGAGTTTGTCAGCACTATGGTGCGGTCGTCTAGGTGCTTCAGGGGCTTCTTGTACCCCAGTAACGCCTCCTCCAACGAAATCTCGAGGTCGTGGTGCAGATCATCACCCGCGCGGCTTAAAAAAAACTAGTGTTAGTAAGATAAATGGTCATCTAGAGCAATGTCGACGTACCGAAAACGGTGGTGAGGCACCTGGTGCAGGCGGAAGATGACGTCGCCTGGCACCATACCGGGCCGCTGCTCACTCTCGCGCTCGAAGACAATCTGATGGGTGGACGGCATACCTCGTTCAATCTCCGCTGTTAGCACCTTGTCCTCCTTCACGACCTTGTTACCATGGCAGAACGGGCATGCCTCCTTGAAGGTCTTGCCGCGCCCACCGCACTTGGGGCACGGCTGCTGCATCTGCACGGTGAACCCTGGCCCCATATTTTGCTCCACCAGCACGTGCCCCGAGCCACCACACGTCTTGCACTTAGTAGTTTTTCCTCCCTTAGCTCCGGTGCCGCGGCACTTGCGACAAATGACGTTTCGAGCGAACTGTGCCTCTTTCTTGGCTCCGTTGTAAAGCTCCTCCAGTGTCACGGGCATGTCCACGGCAGCATCAGGACCGCGTTGCTTTCCACCTCCACCAAAAAAGGCATCGAATGGACTAGAAGGGCGGCCGCCCGACTTTTCGTCGCGCTCGAGACCAGCGAAGCCCTCAAGGTCGTACACTTGCCGCTTTTGCTGATCAGATAGCACCTCGTAGGCGCGCGAGATCTCGTGGAAGCGGCCCTCAGCCTCCTCGTCGCCTTTGTTCTTGTCTGGGTGGTATTTAAGGCTCAGTTTGCGATAGGCTTTCTTGATCTGAGCTTCGGACGCCTCCATGGTCAGTCCCAACGTCTCGTAAAAGTCGACGTGCTCATGTTCATGCTCGTGGTGATGCTCGTGGTGACCCCCATCAAAGCCAAAGTTGAAGCCAAATGCGTGCACATTGCTCACGAACGTCAGCAGCACCAGTAGCAGCAGCAGTAAGGGGCTCCGTCGTCTCACATACATGGTGGTGATCCACCACCGGCTTCTAATTCACTTCCACGTGGAATAAAAGTTTTTTTTTTCTTTCAAAGACCTGACTCCTTTAACTCATATGCTCTATTTTAGTTTTATTTATGCTAATACATGTAACACATATGCCCACTTCAACTTGTATCTTCAAAAGCTCTTACAGCACGACGCACCAACGGTCAAAGAACTTGGGATTTTCATCTAGCTGTCCATGGACGTTTGTCCGATCCATCTTGGTGAGCATTTTGGTGCCAGTAGGTCTCCCTTCGAGACGCTTTGCGGCTGGAAATAGTCGCATTAGTTGTCGAATGTCGTGGTCTGACATGTACGGGTCGAGATACCAGTCGCGAGTCTTCACTTGTGGGCTCTCGCCTGTGCCTGGGGTGCCGATCACAGCGCTCTCGCAGTGGCTGAAATTGAGCGCGAGCACTAATAGTGCCAGCGCGTTGTGTGTGAATTCGGAATCGCCGCTTTCGACGAATACCGCGTCCGATACTACAATTTGGAGCAGCACGACAGGTCAGCAAGGTATCACCCACAACATTAAATAATAAGTGAACGTACGTTTCCACGCCACAACAGTTGAGCTCTCCAGATTCCACCGTAGCGCAGTAAGAAGTCCCGCCAAGAAGGGATGGCAGCCAACGTTGGATAGATGTTTTTCAATGAACGCCTCCATACGCTCCATCGTCTTGGTGTGGTTTCCCATCATGCGCAAGTAGTCGTGCCGTATACGCACTGACACATATTGCCGGGCATTGTCATCCGCCCAGATCTCCAAATTCGTTCCTTGGCTCTCCTTGGCTTTAGTATCAAACACTGCATACTGAAGCATCAGCAACAATTGGCATTAGCACTAGCACCAGTGTACTTAAATGACTCAAAACCCACTTCAAATTCTCACGCACCCTTTGGTTAGAAACGTGGTCGTGATAGCCCGCGCGTACTTCGTTCTTCACCACTTCCAGCATCTGAATGCTGCGTCAAGCAAGGACAATCAACACCTTCATCAGCGTTTCAAAACCCAACGTTCCCTCCACATGCAATGATATCACACACGTCTGATTGAAATTCTCGTCATGGCTAGGCACCATGCATTTGTGCAGTTGCACAGTCTCGTTGAATTGCTCATCGGCCCCAGTTTCCTCAACAGCTGAGATACTTCAGCAAGTAACACATGCACCAGCTTATTCGATACTAGGTTGCAAACGCCCGAGTTCATCTTCCCCAACGCACCTAATTTCGTCCACTTTACTCGCCTCGAAGTGGTCTAAAACGCGTTTGGCCTCATCGTCTTGGTCGTAGTAGAACTTGGCGCAAAGTTCACGCCACCGCCTTTGACGCACAACGCGGTTGCCTTCGACGCTCGCACACTGACATTCTAAAGACACATACGCACATATCGACCCGTCAGAACTTATGTACCACGCGCATACGCTCGGTGTGCTGGCCACCCATAAGAATCATCACCACCCATGATGCGAAGGATTCGAAAATGAAAACTATAAATATCTGCCAATCAAGAACGACGGCGAATATTATAATATAATATTCCAAAAGCGATAATTAAACGCATTTTTACAGACCCTACTGTACATGTACTGTGGCATTATTATAATACTTGAGCCTCTTACTGTAACCCCTTAGTTCCCGGCCTCAAATATGAGTATATTTTGACCTCGTCCCATATACAGATATAAAGGAATTTGTATGGGGTTTCAATTAAGTCCGGATATCTTGGCGCGGGTTCGGGGTGGTAACAACGACTTGCCAGTGTGTATAGTACGGATTTTTTTCTCCAACATAAAGGAGGGTTTATGTAGTACATTGAGACGATCATATACAACTATGCTGTATAAATAAACATAAGATATGTACTATTTATTGATTAGCCTATCTTTGTGCTGTTGCATACGTCCAGCAGCGGTGAGTTCATTTATTATAGCCAATAACAAGAAAGATCAAGTGCCGTATCAATTGATTGCTCCTTGCATAGACATGTACGACCAGACGGCGCAACCACTACGCCTCCTCCTCCACCGCTTCATCATCTTCTTCGCTCGACTCCCCAGCACCAGCACCAGCACTTGCTCCGCTCTCGCCTACCTGCTGTCTGCGTCTCCGCTTCTTGCCTGGCCGCGACGCTGGCGGTCGTTCACGTGTCCTGTGCTCTTGCAGTAGGTCGCGCGGGATGTCGTTGCCGTTGTTCCAATCAGCATGCCAAATGCTGAAGCACGTACTGACCCTGCCTTCACGCGGAACGTTGCATAGGTATTTACTAAATCAAAACGAGTTAGCCAAAGCTTACGGTAAGGGTACCAAGCGAGCTACGCACCGTTTGTTCCCGTTCGAGCACTCCGGGCAGAAGTATTTCGTAAACTTGCGAGGCTTGACCTTGTAGATGGCACAGACTTTGCATGATCGGTGGCGTCGCTTCACACCCTGCTCGCAATCGACAGTATCTGGGTTTTCTTCTAAGCAATGTCCGTCGATAGCTGACGATGCGCTTCCCTGTAGCTGTGTTGAATCTGCTCTTGCCGGCGAAGGGGCAGTTCTATCTTGCGCAGATGTCGCTTGCTGTTCCAATACAGTCAAGCCCACCATAAGTTAGTTGTTATGTTGGAAGGCTGCTGAAGCAGATGAGGTTATGTTGACTGGTCAACATTTGACTTACCTCAATCTCGTCAAACGCTTCGATTGAATCTACTGCCAGTAGCTGCTCCATCAATTCCTAAAAAAACGAGAAGTGTTTTGGCGGGCGCCTGTTGTTTACCTTTCGATAGTGTCGATGAACGATAAACACGTTCACGAGCGCCATATCCAGAAGCCCCAGAAACAGAGTCATGTAGTACTTGCGTGTTTTGTAGCAAAGTTGCACGCTGTAACGTTGCAACCGGAGTTGATCATGGACGTCGACTCCACCCATCCAGCGGTGGTAGTCGCGAACAAGCTCTGGAGCCGGCACCGGCGTCATTTCTCCGTGGATGCGTCTCACTAGAATACAAATACAATTAGTGCTAGCACCCAAATGGGAACTCAATGCATGTAGTACGTACTCACAGTGCCGGTTTGGCGGCTGCCCCCACTTGAGAGCAGGTGCACCGGGTTACGGTCCATCCACATGGCAGCAGTTAGTTGCGGAAACATCTTGTTTTGAGCCAGCTTGATGGTACCTTGCGGAGGCACCAGTACCTCGCGCCTGTTCACCTTTTTTTTTTTTTCGTAGTGATCACTCCAGCAGCGTAACCTGATCTATCCGTCTGTATCGTCCCCGTTAGATACATCCGATAATGAAGCAGCTCCAGCGCTAGCTTGACCGACGTGTAGAAACGGTCGGTGACGACTAATCTCCATGGAGACGTCGGTGACGGAGATAAGAGAGCTTTCATGTTTCAAAGTACAGCCGCTTCTCCAGTGTTGTTATCCTTTGGAACAGGAGTTTGTAGATGTGGCTTCGCCCCGCAATAAATCTCAATTCTAGCAGGCAAACACATCAACAGAGACGATTATGTTAATATTATGTTGTATCAACAGATGGCGCAGGATTCTTATGTTGGACAAGTCAACATAAGGACTTGGGCCAAAAAAAAAGGCAAGCCGAAGCTTGCCTCAAGTTACCTCATGCAGTACGCGGTCTTGGCACACGCAGCAACAAACACCTTCGTCCCCCACTTGTGGGGCTTGTCCTTGTTGAAGATCCTCATGGGATTGTATCGCGAGCGCGAAGGCAGTGTTGCTTCATCGAAGCTGATGACTGGGGGAGCTCTGTATCCACGAGCGAATGTTCGCTGTAGCACATCGAGCACCGGTCGAATCTTCCACGCTCGGTCCGTACGGGCTTGTGGCGACTTGTTGCTCGAAAAGTGTAGATATCCCATGATATGAAAAAAACGATTCTTTCCCATCACGAGACTAAAGCGGTTTGACGGTAGAACTCCAACTTTCTTCATTGACCAATGCGCTGCAATGCCTTTCCGGATGGGGACCAACATACGTGCAATCAGCAATGCCATAACTTGAAGGACCTCGTAAGTTTGTATTTCTTCAACTGCTGACAACCGCCGTCTGATCTCAGCAAGATCTTCTGCTTCGCCACCACTACGCTGTTGCTGTCTGTTAATTGAGCGGGCCCTCGTAGGGATTGACTAAGTATGATAGCGGTTGCTTTCGACAGCAATTTGGGACCAAATCTTCGGCGGCAGGAAAAAGAAGAGCAATGCCAGCGGATCGTCCCCAAGGCGTAGCACGCTGTCACTTGGTCCGTATGGCCCATCATACAACCCAGCATACGTTGGGTCAGGTCCAAATTTAGTCGCGTCTAGATACAACACACAAGGACAAAAACTATGTTAGCCTTTATGTTAACTCAGAAACAAAATGAAAGGATTATGTTGGATTCGGCCAACATAACGTACCATACTCCCAGCCATCGGTACGCATTGCAGTGATCAGTGGTGCGTTCTTCGCTGCGGATAACCACGCCGTGTTTGGAAGCTCCTCGATGTCGTGGTCCGAATCTTCATCTGTCAGCTCTCCAATGTCCCAGTCACCGTCCCAACTATCGTCATCAGCATCCTCTTCGTCTTCAGGTTCCTCACGAAGCTCTGGGTCCTCGTCGGAGTTGAGCCCGGTGCATTCGTCAGCTCCTTCGTCCATAAAGTTAGGGTCTGTGTCAATAACACACGCAGGTACACTGTGCACAACGTCTGCTTCGTTAACACTCTCGTCTTCGTCACCTTGCATTCTCTGTTCACCATACATCACGTACGTTGGATATTATGTTAGACATGTTGTCAGCCACAATCCTTCTAGGTTGGATAAACGAACAAAACGCACCGTGTCATCGTCGCCATCGCTGTCTTCTTGTAGGAGAGCGCGGCGATGCTCTCTTGTCGGCACTTGAGTACTACGCTTTCGTTTTTCAGCACTGGAATCAGTAGTAGCTAACGCGATACCAGACTGTTGGGCAGGCAGCGCAGTCTCAACGCTCAAAACCATGTCCGCGACGACTTCTGTCACCTCCGTCTCGTGGTCTGCTTCCACCTCCATCGCATCCGCTATCGCGGTTGTCTCTATCGTCTCCTTTGCTTCAGCAATCGTCTGGTTTCGCGAGCCCTCTTTTTCGCCCGCCGTGTCTGCAACCTGAGCACTTGCTGAAGGAATATACAGACCTTTATACTGCGCCACCTCCATATCTGCCGTTGTGCGCTTGGCAGCCTTCTTCTTTGTCGCCTTCTTCGCCTTCGTCTGCCATGCTCCATCGCTGCCGCTCTTCTGCTCTGTCCGTCGAATGCTGCGCTCGTGACGCTCACTTAGCAGAGCCTCGCGACAGAGGCGCCTTTCTTGCTCGGTGAGGTGGTGACGCGGTGTCTTGGGTGTCGGTGCAACCATGTTGCTATCGGCCGTCGTTTTGAAGAGTGAGGAGGTTGGTGGCTGGTGGCCACTCGCTCGATAGTGGGTGTGTACCTCCCTTTTCTAACTCATTCAACCAAACTAAACCTAAGCCTGTGCATGTGACCGTTTTACACTCATATCAATGACTTCATCTCACTATAGCGGGGAAAGGGGGGATATGGACCGTTGCCCCATACAAAATTCAGGTATAAGATTTGCTTATGTTGGACCTAAACAAAAAATAAAAGGTGCAACAGAAGTGAATTAGGGTATACACCCCTTATGTTGGAAGATCCAACATAAAGGAACTAAGGGGTTAAAGTGGGGGTACTCGTTTTATAGTACACTGGTATTGTCAATTTCGCTCGAATTTGCCGGCGCGGAGAGGCTGGCTAAGTCAACCCATTCAGTAACCAAATCGACGCGATTGGCTAACATATATTGTGGCGCGCGTTGCTTTTCATTTTGACGTTTCTTCTCCATGGATGTTGGTGTTTCCTACTGCAACTAGGACACAGGCACTTGCTCGCTGGCACGGTGTATCATGAATAAGCTTCCGTGGTACATGTAGTGATGT